GAGGAGGAAGAGGTTGACGGGGAGTGGGAAGAGGAGGAAGAGGAGGTGGAGGAAATGGGAGAGGAGGATATGTTGATGGAGGAGGAAGAGAAGAGAGAGTATTTGACTACACTGAATGATGAGGCCGAGATGGGGGAGGGAGAGGAGTACGAGGAGGAGGAGGGTGAGGATGAATGTATGCAGCAAGAGGAGGTGGAGGAAGAAGCAGAGGACGGCGAGGAAGCAGTTCCGGAACGGTTCCGTCGAAGCGTCGCTATCGCGCATGGCGGTTCGTCCTTCCTCAGAAGAGCCGCGCCTGCTGTGGAATACCGCGATCCAGAATACCACGTGAAGGCCGCGAGCAAGCAGGAGCTTTTTATGAAGGGGTTGATGTGCCTGCAGCAGCGATTTTCCCGGGTAAACTTGTGCCTACCAGTTCTGTACAGATCGACCAGCGCGTGAGTGAGCTCCGCGGCAGGGGTCTGCTGCTGCGTCAGCTAATAACGAAACGCGTGCTGCTTATACTAGTCAGGTTGTGTAGATACTCCCTTTTTGTAGTGATACTTGGCAGTAATATTTTTTTATTCTTACTTTTTGTCAACTACTTCAGATGCGGAAATATGTACAGCCACCCACAGTACAACAAAAAACAGCTCTCATGAGAACTTGTAGGGAGAATTAGTAGTTACTAATAACCTCGTTATCATAATTGACTTGCACACTCATTGGTTGTGATCGTTGGAAACAATTGATCTTAAAACCAGGGTCTCATGTAGATCATTTGTTTTGCAGTTGATGGGAAACACCCGTTTCCCATTGGTTGACGAGCCCTAAAAAACGAAAAGGGGTGCAGCGAGGGATGTGAAGGGAACTCAATCGCTTGCTGTGTTCCAAACCTTCTAGGTATGGAAACAGGTTCGGAGCCGAAGCTACAGTGCCAGTGAAATGTCAAGAATTGTCGAGAGTCTCATGTACCCGAAATTTGTTTTGCAATTGGTGCTGAGGCAAAATAGGGGGAGTGTCGCACGCCAACTTCCCTAGCCAACCAGTCCATCTCGCCTACAAACACAAGGTAACGCAAGTCTCAAATGTTTTGCAATTGATGGCAAAATCTCTTACTTGAGACCCTGGTTTTAAAGCGCCTCTGTCGTGTCAAAACACTAAGACACAAGCGAATCGAAGCATACCGAAGCACCGGCGAGTCAACCCTAGGAGGTTGAAAGTAACTGTTGGAGGTTACGCGAAAGTCAAAGGTCAGCGACCTTTGACCTGACAAGTACAGCACGACAACAAGGACACACAACTGACTCGCTACAAAACAGTTGCCTGAGTCGTCACTGTATCGAACTGCAACAGCAACAGTAAAACAGTTATATAACCGTATCCTTTCATATTCCTTGTACTCTTATATAATCTTGTATCTCTTTGTTTTAATCAATCGACTTTGCCCTCACATACTAGCGCAAGGTGGTTTACAATACTTTATTCAAATGCTTCCGCTATTACATCAGTCCTACCAAGAGTTCACCCTGCGAAAATCCTAAGGGCTTTTCTCAGCCCAACATGATATGAGAGCAGTCAGGGAGAATTCAGCCTCTATTAAGGGTACATTCCGCTGTGGACACATGTCCCAATCGATGTGTCCCAATCGAGTGTACCGCTCCGAACCGAACTAAACCAGAGACGCGAAAATTTCAAAACTAGGGTGCAATTTGGTGTAATACGATGCAGTGCGGTAGAAACGATTGGGACACATCGATTGGGACGTGTGTCCACAGCGGAATGTACCCTAAGATACCGACAACTTCAACAGACATGGCTACGCAAAAGGAAAGGAGCTCCTCCAATGGCTCCCAGGGCACTACTCCTACTCCACCTCCTGCCTCTGGCCTACAGACAGAGGAGGGTACGGCAATAAGTGTCAAATGTTGTAGCCTGTAGTGAGGTTTGTCTTAGGGGGTACAGAAGTTAGGGTTTGTTATATGTACCCCAACCAACATCAATGGAACCATTCATTCCTCATTTTGACATGGTATCAGCTAGGTTAGGTTCCTGTGGGATCCCGTTCCTCCGTTCTCCGTTCGTACCTCCCGAGCCTGATCCTACCTCTCGTTCGTACCAGTTCCGTTGTTACCGCGCCTAGTACCGAGCCTAGCGCCCTTTCCCCCGTCGCTTAGCGCCCTTTCTCCCCGTCGCCTCGCGCCCTTTCCCCTCCCCCCCGTCGCGTCGCGCCCTTTCCCCCCGTCGCGTCACGCCCTTTCCCCCCCGTCGCGTCGCGCCCGTTCCCCCCGTCGCGTCGTGCCCGCCTGTTCCCCCCCCGGTCCCGTCGCCCTGTCCCGTCGCGTCACCCTACCCCGTCGCGTCGCCCTGCCCCGTCCCGTCGCCCTGCCCCGTCGCGCCGCCCTGCCCCGTCGCGTCGCCCTGCCCCGTCCCGTCGCCCTGCCCCGTCCCGTCGCCCTGCCCCGTCGCGCCGCCCTGCCCCGTCGCGTCGCCCTGTGCCGTCGCGTCGCCCTGCCCCGTCGCGTCGCTCCCGCCCTTTCCCCCGTCGCGTCGCCCTGCCCTACGCCCTGGCCCGTCGCCCTACCCTAGGCCCTGGCCCATCGCCCTACCCTAGGCCCTGGCCCGTCGCCCTCCCTAAACCCTGGCCCGTCGCCCTACCCTAAGCCCTGGCCAGTCGCCCTACCCTAGGCCCTGGCCCGTCGCCCTACCCTAGGCTCTGGCCCGTTGCCCTCCCTACGTCCTGGCCCGTCGCCCTAGCCCGCTCTTCCGCTGCAACTGAGTCCTCTTCCCCCCGGTTCTTACTCGCCTGTTCGTTCGCTTTAGTTCTCACTATGGCGACTCCGCGAGTTCTTCGTTTCGACGCTGACGGTAGACCACTTGACTTTTCCGTCTGGCTTCTTCGCGCTCGCCGCCTGTTAGAGAGTCAGGTCCAGGGGGGCGAGACCCTCTGGTCACACGCTACTGGTGACCTCCCCGAGCCCCCCGAGCCTACAGCTTTAGGCCCTGCTCCTGACGACGCTGCTACGGCTCGCTTTGCCCGTCAGCGCGCTGACCGGACGGCTTGGACGTCGCGTGACGCTGCGGCCTGCATCGCACTCAGCAGCCTCCTCCCTGAGTCTGAGGAGGTCCACTTTACTCAGGTTCGCACCGCTGCTGCGTACCTCACTGCGATTAAGGCCCGCTACTCTACTCCCGCTACTGTCTCTCTTGGCCGTCTTTTCCTCCCGTTCCTGTTTCCTGATCTTGCCTCGTTTGAGCGCTCTGCTGACTTGATCGCTCACCTCCGCTCGCTCGACGCTAGTTACCGCGCTGCTTGCACTGAGGCACAGCTTGCACTGCTTCCTCCCCCCATGGCGATCACTGTCTATTTCATCGCCACTAGCCTCCCTGACCGCCTTGCCTCCGTTCGTGACGCGCTTCTGCTGAAGCACCCTAGTGAGCTGACTATCGAGGTCCTTGAGTCTGCACTCAAGGACGTCGAGAGCAACCTTCGTTCGGTAGCTGCCGCCTCTGGTACTGTGTACCCCCCACTCTTCCACGGGTGCACAGTCCCGCAGTTACCCACCTTCACTGCCTCTCTTGCCACTGCCGCTACTGACGCGACTGCGGCTGCTGTTACGACTGCGTCGCGGTCCCGCGGCAGGGGGGGCAAGAAAGGTGGTTCTGGTGGAGGTGGAGGCGGAGGTAGCGGAGGTAGTGGGGGTGCTGTTGCGACTGGCGGTGGTGGGAGTGCAGCGTCTGGAGAGACCCCTCGTGCAGCGGCTGGTGACTCCACTGCACCTGCTGGTGGCGGCGACCCCCGAGCTCGTCAGTCGCCTCCTGTACTGCCGGCCCCGCTAGGTGGAGCAGCGGCGTGGTACCAGGCTCAGCGTCAGCACCACCTTCAGCAGCAGCAGCAGCCCCTTTCCTCCCAGCAGCCTCAGCAGCAGCAGCGTCAGCAGCTGGCTCCGGGGTCGGGGCTGCGTCAGCCCCAGCGCGGTGCGGCTTACCCTCCCTGCCCCTACCAGGTTCAGACAGGTCCTCGTCGGGGCCACCCTTGTGGCCGCTTTCACCCCCCTGGTCAGTGCTTTGCTCAGCTCATTGACACGGTCCGGTTGACCTACGGGGTTGGCGGTCCTGCTCCTGACTGGCTTCCTCTGGTTCAGCGCTACGGCTCCGCTCTGTGGGGCATGTCTGCTGAGCAGTTAGTTGATCTGATTAGTGCTCCTCATGCTATGTATGTTGTTGTTGACTCTAGTGTTTCTGACTCTGTTTACTCTGGTGTTGTTAGCTTAGGTGCTAGTCTTGCTCAGTTGCCTGTTGCTAGTGTAGGTACTTGTGTAGACTCTAGACCAGCGACTACCTCAGACGACGCTTCGCTGTCGTTCACACTGGACTCTGGAGCCTCCCACTGCTTCTTCCGGGACAGCACGACACTTACACCACTTCCTGCGCCTGTTTCTGTAGCTTTGGCTGATCCCACTACGGGACCAGTCACTGCACGTCACACTACCACTTTACCGTGTCCTGCTGCTCCCTCCGGGTCTCTCACTGGGTTTCACGTCCCCTCGTTCTCCCGGAACTTGGTGGGCGTGCGACCCCTCGTGAGTCAGCACGTGGGTGTGTGGTTTGAGCCTTCTGGAGAGACTGCGGTGTGTGTTGACGGAGACTCTTACCAGCCTCTTGCTACCTTTACTGCTGAGCCGGGCTCGGGTCTCTACACTCTTCACACTGGCCCGCGTGCGCCGCAGCAGCAGCCGCAGCAGCAGCCGCAGCCGCAGCAGCAGCAACAACAGCAGCAGCAGCAGCAGCAGCACCAGCGGCCGCACCAGCAGCCCCACCTACTGCCACTGCCCCCGGTTCCCCCCTCCGTTCGGGTCCCCGCGTCTCACCAAGTTGCTTCGTCCCCCCAGGTGTCTGTGTCGTGTCAGGTTCCTACGTCTGTTCCAGTCGCTGGGTCGTGCTCCTGCCGGTCGCTTGCCCACCCCACCGTTCTGTGGCACCACCGGATGGGGCACCCGTCCCTTCCTCGTCTGCGCGCTATGTCTAGTCAGCGTCTTGTCCTAGGCCTCCCACGTGTCTTGCCGTCGCTGCCGCCTTCGTTTGCGCCGCCGTGTCGTCCCTGCGTCGAGGGTAGGCTGCGCGCCACCCCTCACTCCTCCTCCCTTCGTCCGGCCACCGAGCCTTTTGAGACGCTTCGCTTGGACGTCTGGGGCCCCGCCCCTCGTCTAGGCCCTGAGCGTGAGCGTTACTTTCTGGTGGTCGTTGACGACTTCTCCCGCTACACCACAGTGTTCCCTCTGGCGAAGAAGTCTGAGGTGACTTCTACGCTGATTAGGTGGTTGCTCACCACCGAGGACACTCGTGGTCGTCGTGTCAGCTGTCTCCACTCCGACCGTGGGGGTGAGTTTCGCTCCGGCATTCTCGCTGGATTCTGTCGCGAGCAGGGCATTCGTCAGTCCTGGACGCTTCCAGAGTCCCCACAGCAGAATGGGGTTGCTGAGCGCCGCATAGGCATGGTCATGGAGATCGCCCGCACCTCCCTGACTCACGCCTGTGCCCCCCATTTTCTGTGGCCCTACGCGGTCAGGTACGCCGCGCACCAGCTGAACCTCTGGCCACGTGTCTCTCGACCAGAGGTTTCACCGACCAGTCTTTGGACAGGGTCCCCTGGTGTTGCGTCGCGGTTTCGTGTCTGGGGGTGCTTGGCTCTTGTCCGCGACACCTCCGCGGACAAGCTCTCGCCTCGTGCCGTCCCCTGTGTCTTCCTTGGTTTCCTTGAGGACTCCTCTGACTTCACCTTTTACCACCCTCCCTCTCACCGGTTCTTTGACTCCCGTGACGTCCGTTTCGAGGAGTCCACTCCGTACTACGTCAGGTACCCCAGTCGAGGTCTCCCGGTTCCTCCTCCCCCCCTCTTCCTGACTGCCGCTCCCCCTCCTGCTCCCCCGGTACAGCCTCCCCCCCCTGGCCCAGCCCCGTCAGGTGTGTCCCAGGCTACCCCTCCTCCTTCGGTAGCCCCTCCGGTACAGCCTCCCTCCCCACAGTCCTCCTCGCAGCGTGCCGCTGGTGCTAGCTCTCGAGAGGTTGGTGCTGCGCCTGTTCCTGTACCGGTTTCTGGTTCTGGGGGTGCTGGTGTTGGAGCTGGTGTTGGAGCTGTAGGTGGAGCTGGTGTTGGAGCAGGAGGTGGAGCTGGAGTTGGAGCTGGAGTTTCTGGTTCTGGAGTTGGAGCTGACCCGGTGGGTGCAGAGGACTCTTGTCGTCCGGGAGCTGGTGCTGGTCGCGCGGACACTGGGGGTGAGAGTGCGCCTCCTTCGGGTTCTGGTGAGCCTGGGTCTGGAGCTGGTGTTAGTGCTGCCTCTGGGGGTGGTGCGCCTGGTTCTTCGGGGGTGGACTCTGGGGCTACCGCTGCTTCGGACACTACTCCGCCCCCCCACCCCTACCCGACTAGGCACCAGGCTCGTGTTCGCCGTGCCCGTGACGAGCAGCTGGCGTTGGAGAGAGAGGAGAGGGAGTTACAGCGGCTGGAGGAGCAGCAGCAGCAGCTGGAGCCGCAGGAGCAGCAGCAGCAGCAGCAGCAGCTGGACCCGCAAGAGCAGCAGTCCCAGCAGCAGCCGCGTCCGCAGCAGCAGCAGTCGCAGCAGCAGCAGCAGCAGCCACTTCCTCCTCCTGTCTCGGGTCTTCGGGCCCTTGGTCTCCCCTCCCCTTCTCCTCCCTCCTCCGCCTCTCCTCCTGTCTACGGTCCCACGTTTCCTCCGCCTGACTCCTCCCCCGCTGTTTTCTCCAGTTCTCCGCCTTTGTCCTCTCCTCCTCCGTCTCGTTCTTGGGCTACTCGTCGCTCCCCTCGTGCTCGTCCCTCGTCTCCTGTTCCCTTCACTGACCTTCGTACTGCCTTACTTTGTTCTAGTCCACCTCGTCCGTCTCAGTCTGTGCTTCCGTCTCCTCCTGAGTCGGCCCTGACCGTGTCGCTCCCTGCTCCCGTCACTGACTACTACCGCACGTACCGTCCTGTTCTCTCTCGTGTTCTCGCCTCTCTTGTTACTCACCCTCGTGCCTCTGTGTCCTCTGTGTCCGCTCTTACTGCCGCAGTTACTGACTTTGCCTCTACGCGCCGCCTTGACTACGCCACCACGCTTGTGGCTGCTCCTCCTACCAGTCCTCTGGCCGTCGGGGGTGTGTCTGCCCTTGGCTGTGACGCCCTAGAGGACAGGCAGTTTGAGCTAGAGTTCCTGGCGGCCGCTTCCCCTCATCTCTGTGCCATGCTCCTCGCCCCTGAGGGTGACCCCGACGCCCTTGACATTCCGACTCCTCGCACTTACGCTGAGGCAGTGTCAGGGCCTTGGGCCTCTCAGTGGAGAGCTGCCATGGACGCTGCCATGGAGAGCCTCCTACAGATCCACAGGCACCTACGTCGATGAGGTTCCCCCCCCTGGGGCGAACGTAGTCGACGGCATGTGGATCTATAGGGTGAAGCGGCCACCGGGATCTCCCCCCGTCTTCAAGGCGCGCTACGTGGCTAGAGGTTTCAGTCAGCGCGAGGGAGTTGACTTCTTTCAGAACTTCGCACCTATCCCGAAGATGACCACTCTTCGGGTGTTACTACACGTAGCAGCACAGAGAGACTACGAGTTACACTCTCTCGACTTCTCCACTGCTTTCCTTCAGGGCAGCCTACACGAGGAGGTCTGGTTACGTCGTCCCTCGGCCTTCACTGGCACTTTCCCTCCTGGGACCCAGTGGAGGCTGAGGCGACCTGTTTACGGTCTTCGCCAGGCCCCTCGTGAGTGGCACAACACTCTGCGTTCTACCCTCTCTGACCTTGGGTTCCAGCCGTCTTCTGCCGACCCGTCGCTGTTCGTTCGTCGTGGCTCCACACCGTTCTTTGTCCTGGTCTACGTCGACGACCTCGTTTTCGCCACTCCGGACAGGGTTGCTTTGGCAGACGTGAAGTCCGAACTGCAGAAGAGACACACGTGCACTGATCTTGGTGAGCTGCGCCACTACCTTGGCCTGCAGATCACCAGGGACAGAGCCGCTCGCACCATTACACTCTCACAGTCACACATGGTGCAGCAGGTCCTTCAGCGGTTCGGGCTTCAGCACTCCACCGTACAGTGCACACCTCTCGCTGTTGACCACAGACTCACTGGTCCCTTTCCTGACGAGCCGTTTGAGCCTAGTGGTCCCTACGCAGAGCTTGTGGGTTGCCTCATGTACCTGATGACTTGTACTCGCCCGGACCTCGCCTTCCCTCTCAGCATCCTTGCGCGCTTTGTTGCGCCAGGGAGACACCGTCCTGTTCACTGGACGGCAGCTGTGAGGGTGGCGAAGTACCTAGCGACTACATCAGGCGTGGGGCTAGTTCTTGGAGGGCAGCAGTCTGTCGTACTCACTGGTCACTGTGACTCCTCTTACGCTGACGACGCTGAGACTCACAGGTCTACTCAGGGGTACTGTTTCAGTCTGGGTTCTGGAGCTGTTTCCTGGCGTTCCACGCGCTCCTCTTCTGTCTCAACCTCTACAGCTGAGGCTGAGATTTACGCTGGTGCCATGGCGGCACAGGAGTTGCGGTGGTTGACCTTCTTGCTCGCCGACCTTGGTGAGCGGCCGAGCTCTGCACCGACCTTGTTTACTGACAACAAGGCGTCGATCCTCCTCTGTCGTGAGCCGCGACTGGAGAGCAGAGTGAAGCACATTCACGTCAGGTACTTTCTTCTGCGAGAGTTGCAGAGACGTGGACAGGCTCGCTTCGAGTTCGTGGAGTCCGAGGCCAACACTGCAGACATCTTCACCAAGGCGCTTCCGCCTTGTGACCACCAGAGGTGTTATGTGCAGTTAGGCCTTGTTGACTCAGGTTCTAGTCATGTGTAGACTTGAGTTTATTGCCTGCTTCGTCTGTACACTTGCTATATATACTTGTGATCTCTTGGACTGGCCTTGTGGCCACTGTTGCTTGTGCTCAGAGTGTGTGGTGACGTTGTGATCCACCCTGAGCTTTGTTTTCTTTTGGACTGGTCTTGTGACCGTACTCTTTTTGATTTTGCTAGACACCCCTCACTTAGGCTATGGGGGTGTGTCAAATGTTGTAGCCTGTAGTGAGGTTTGTCTTAGGGGGTACAGAAGTTAGGGTTTGTTATATGTACCCCAACCAACATCAATGGAACCATTCATTCCTCATTTTGACAATAAGACCCAGTGCAACATTCACCGAGACTCTTGCGAATCAATCTGTAGACTTCGACCAGAGCATGATGGAGAAATTCTTCTCCTTCATGTCCTTCTACGAGCAACACAAGCAATCGGCACCTGCGTAGTCACATAATAGCAACAACAATGGAGCAACTCCCATGAGTCTCGACGGCTCATCATACGCACGAGGAAATCAACAGCAGCCTCCTACCTGTGCTCCGTACGAGCGCGGGTCCATCAGCTTTATGCCACACCCGCAGCCTTCACCTGGGCAAGAAAAGTCACTGGACGCATTACAAGTTCAGTCGCAGTTTGCGCACGTTCTGAAGATGCAGACGTCAAGACCTTTCAATGGAAAAGATTTCTTCACCTGGTCGTTTGAATTCGAGTTATGATGGAAGGCGCACAGATACTTGGCTTCTTCGACGGGTCCCTGCCATACCCAACGAACGGTACGCAGTATAAGAAGCAGCAGTACACCTATCAGTCAATGATGACGTACACTATTCTACTGAGGAACATCACCCCAACCCAACAGCAGAATATACGGTCTTACCAGGGTTACCGCAACTCCGCGGAGCTCGCATACAACCACTTGAAGAGCCTGTATCAAGCAACAGACAGCGTAAATCAAAGTCGGTTAATGGCGCAACTGACAACTGCCGAAATGAAACCAGACGAGAAAGGAATGGCGTATATCAGCCGATGTCGCGAGTTGCGCGACAAGCTTCTTCGATGCGGGGGGTCAATTTCTGAAGACGCCTTCGTGACAGTCATCATTGGCGGCCTTGGTCCTCAATGGCGCGCCACAAAGGCCATTCTCTGAGCCCACGGAAGAATCTCCAAAGCAGCACTCTGCGCCGAAATCCATGCCGAGGAGCAAGACATGGACCTGCAAGAAGAACGACACAAGAAGAAGATATCAGCACCGGAATTCGCATTCCACACTTAGCGACGCTACAACAACTGCAAACAACAACAACTGAAGTCCGTACCTCCATTCTGCCACATCTGCAAGACGTCAGGGCACCCGCGCACGCACTGCCTGAATCGACAACAGTCAACTCCACCGCAACAGCAGCTTCGACCCTCAAGCAGCCAAGTGGCATCGACGCAAGCGAACCCTACGAGTCAGTCGCAACCTGCACAAGGAGCAAGAAACATCGTCAGCTGCATGGCAAAATTGACTGATTCCTGCATCACCGGATCACCGCCACACTACTCACCGGAAGAACAACTCGACAACACCACACCTCACCGCGAGTCACTTCAATTGAATCCAATGTACGCAGCCATCGCCCAGAGCGAGTCATCCGGGAAAGACACCTGGTTCTTGGACAGTTGTTGCGGACATTACATGTGCTCTTTAGGACGCTTCGTGCAACAAGAATACCAACTCCAACGCTAAGTAGTCATCACCATCGCCAACAACCAGAACCTGCGCACATGACGACAAGGAGTGGTTCAACTTCAGTCACGAGAAATAAACGTGATAATACAGATGTCAAAAGTTCTTATAGCAGATTGACTTGGATATAACTTACTCAGCGTCAGCCAGCTGATGGCGAAGGGCATCCATCTCGAAGCAGATATCACCACTCAAGAATTCAAGTTGTACCACAGGAGAGGAGGCCTTTACATCGGAAAGGCGGTAATGAAAAATAACGTCTTCGTTCTTGATTTTGTTCCAGATCTAGGCACAGCAGACAGCGACGGCATCGTCACCTTCACTTCCTGGACCCACCCTCCAGACCTTGATCCAGACTTCAGCCTCGGCGGCTTCTGGTATTCACACACCATCCCTAAGGCAGAAAGAACAAGGGCGTTAACAAAAATTCAGACAACATTGGCACCAGCAGAGACAACATCGGCAGCAGCAGAGATAAC